GGCAGTCTTCTGTGGATTTAGTCAAAAGACTGGAATTGCTTGCACAGCTTAGAAAAATTATGAGTTCTTCCGAGATCCATCAATCATAAGAATGATGGAGAACCCAAATTTTTATCTCTTACTAGATAGGAATTTAAGGTCGCAACAGTGACTATACTAATTCAGTGTAAGGATCTTTGTCTTGAACTGTCTGACAGGACCTGTAACAAACATATCCTGACTAACACCACGAAATTTGTATATCACACGAACTGTGCCTATAATCGCCTAAGCAAAAGTCGTGCTTGCCCTTAAATCGTATTATCATGTTATCAACAATCTTACTGCCAGGAGGGTAGGACACTATTGTATCTTTGAGTAATAATAATAATGAACCCAACGAATACCCTACACCCGCCCACCCGTCCTGATTGGAAAGTGTTTGGTAAGCATCGAGATTTAAAACTGTTCAGCTACAGAAAAAATAATTATGAAACAGTTGAAATTTAGTAACTATGGAATTTTCATTTCGAAATAAGAATAGTTTTTTTGATGCTAAAAAGTGAGTCTGAGAGACCGAAGGTGCTGGAAAGAAAATTAAAATTGTGATACCATCGGCGAAAGGGTTCATACAATTCATAAAATATTTTACATGACTTTAAAAGTAAAGGCCTAAACTGCCTAGATACACGAGTTGGAACATTAAAGTTTATCTCAGATAAGAGCTATTATTGTAACTGCAAATTGATCCGTTAAGAAGTTTCACTACGAACAATGCGCCTAACATTACGCCTACAACTTGTGAGAGTAGTTAGACTTAGAAGTTTTAAACGGTTGATCTAGTAATAAAAGGGCATTTAAACTCTTTCGATCATCTTTTGACAAAGGCAAAAAAAAAATTTTAGCTTTTAAGACAGTGGTATTGACATGAAGATGGAAATTGAGCTTAGAGGGAGAAGGTTGAACAAGTCTTCGTAAAAAGCACATGGTCTTACACTTCTCAAAGGTCACAGACATGTCGTTGTTATCACACCAAATATATGTCTAGACTAGACTGTTTCCATATTGTTGGGAACACACCTTGTTTGAGGGAGAAACAGAAAAGTAGAGTTAAAGGCAAAAACTGATTTTTTCACAACATTTCAAAAAGCATGTAGGAATCATATCCGGCCCATAACTGAAAGAATGATTTAGATTCATCAAATGATTTAATATATCTTCCTCAGGAATATCTAATAATAATGGTACAGTAAATCCTAACATGAGTCAACATAAAGGGTAGAATGCAAATATTATTATAATTTAAATTATTATAATAATATTTATATTTGTTTAATATTATGTATGCACGGCCAAGAAAGAAATAAGATAGTCAATCATCTAATAACACAATGCGACTCTATGATAAACCATGATTAGACTTGTCGTTTCAATGAGATAGTTAGATGCATCCACCTCCCGTTGTGCACTAAATAAATAGGAACTACAATCGTGGACAAACATACGCAATGCAAGATCAAAAACCGCCTCTAACTTTAAACTAAGGGAAGTAACGGTAACCAATTTAATTTTAGGAGAGAGACAACAACAAAGGCATTAAGAGAGCAAAAGCTTGCTTTGATAACGGAACATATTTATTTTCTATTATTATTTGTACGCCAGCCTTTGATTTTTTGGCTGGACAAAAGAATTTTGACATTTCCTTTCATATCCATTTTCATCGATTCGCTTGCGGTGCAAAACACGTGCTTTGGTTTCTTAAGTCATTTTCTTGTCTAATTACTATTTAAAATCAGTGTCGAAGACCGCATAATATTAATATAAAGGCATTTCCACGGTTGAGAAATCACTCTGTAAGAGAAGATTATCTAATGAAACGTCGAAATACGGATAGATAACAAAAACAGTAGTAAAGATAGGTCCAGATAAGATAAGATCCATTATTCAAGTAACGAACGAAGCAGAACCATACACGGTAGAATAAATTATAGAGAAAGTTAGTTTGGGAAATATCGACAAGCTACAGTTTTATATGCTAAAAGCATAGGTCAAACTTTAACCGAAACTAACTTTTAATAAATACTTTAAAGTTATGTGCGCTGATAATAAAATTGTAAATAAAATTTAGAAGCCAAGACATAGTACTTAAGAAGTTTCTGGAAAGCTTATATTTTGGCTATCAACGAGGAGATATCATGAAATTAAAAGCGGCACAAGAAATTTTTAGCTAATAAAGGTATATTTAACCCACATGAACCCAGGGAATGGAAGGCTATAATTGCAATTAACCTCCAATAGTTTAATAATGTAACTTAACCCAATTTGATGTAATTAGATATTTAAATGTAAATAAAGCTAAAAGTTTACACCTTGTCTTCTAGTATAATTTTACTCAAAGTATTTTGAGAAACTCTGTATAATAATGGTAATATATTTGGATAATGCACAGTACTTATGCTATACAATAATATACAGTAAGCTGGCCAGTATAAACTGATGCACAGGACTATTATTTACTTTTAGCCTTTCCCTTCGGAAAGTAAACTGGGTTAATAGCATAGTTTAGTGGCGTAACACTACGGTAATATATTCTACTGTTACATCCTGCAATTTTACAATCCTTGTTTTCACTACTTAGCCGTGAGTTCGTCAATGCTCTGCGTCTTGCATATATTGTATTTTTAAATGTATATAAAGTTTATTACTTAATCAATAAAATAATATTATAACACAATGCTATTTAAAATTACATGAACTTTAAAATTTAACAATATTAATGACATTAATAATAATATAATTCTTTTCAAAGTAATGAAGAGTATTTTAATTGTGCATAATTAATAGTTAATAATATATTTAGTATGATGAAATATGTTGATTTTTACTTTAATGATTACTTTTCTAATTAAAAAGAAATTACGAGCCAATTATAATTCTAAGCTTTATTGGTTATTAAAAATCTAAATAACTAAATTAACTGAAACATATACTGCATGGATGTTTCATATCAGAAGCGTTTTTTAAAGCTTCTTCAGATAATAGGAGACTGTACAAAAAATTCCCTTGCCTAGTGCAAAATAGTTCATTCAAAGAACAGCGGATATTATTTATATTCTGAAGAAATATTCGAGAGAGAGAGTCACGAAAAAAATTGGGACACATATTAAGAATATTCTGACGATAGAACATTCCAAGGTTGGAAATATAGAAGAAAATATTATTTGTATCAATTCAATAAACGCGGAAATTTATGAAAACATACAGTTGTGGATTGAGACCAACTTAGAAAAGATAAGATATATAACAGAGAAGAAGATATTCGAGATCACTAAATCGAATGATAAAAGGAGACCGGAGGGTACTGGAAACATTTCAGATCAGTCTTCTGGGTAATTTTCTTATAATGACTATAACAATTTTAAAAATTATTACAAAATGAATAATTCTAATTGCAAGACTGACTATAAGATGGATTATAGTATAACCTATAAGATGGATAATGGAAACTACAAGACTGACTATAGTAACGGACATACTGATTATAGTAACTGTAAGACTGACTATAAAATGGATTATGGTGATTATACTAATAGTTATGATGATCAGATATACAATTATCTCCCTTCCCCTTTTTTGCTCTTCATTCAATGCTTTATAAAAAGTGTTACAGTGATCGGACTCAGTTAAAATATGCGCCGTTTTTTTCGATGATCTGTTTCCATTTAGATGTCAACTTTATAATACCTTCCTAGTAGAAGCCCCCTTCCTTTTTGCGAAGAATTCGGATAGCCACTTTTCACAAGCCTCTTTTGAGTTCAACTTCACACCACCAAGGGCATTCGCCATGGACAGGACCAGGTGGTAATCCCTTGGCGCTACGTTCGGGCTATATGGTGGATGCGACAAAACCTCCCATTCGAGATCCCGTAGCTTCCGACGAGTCATCAACGAAGTGTGTGGTCAGGCGTTGTCCTGGTGGAACACTACACCCTTCTTGGTGGCCAATTCTGGACGCTTCTGGTCGATGTCCTGCCTCAAGCGTTCCAGCTGTTCGCAGTAGATGGCAGAATTAAGCGTCTGGCCATATGGGAGCAGCTCATAGTGGATGATTCCTTTCCAATCCCACCAAACACACTGCAAAACCTTCCTATCCGTCAATCCCGGCTTGGCCACTGTTTGGGACGATTCACCGGCCTTCGACCACGACCGCTTTCGCTTGATATTGTCGTATGTGATCCATTCTTCGTCGCCAGTCACCATCCGCTTCAAGAATGGGCCGAGTTCGTTCCGTTTCAGCAGCATATCGCAGGCGTTGATTCGGTCCAGAAGGTTTTCTTGCGTCAAATTATGCGGCACCCAAACATCAAACTTTTTTTGTATCCAGCCTTCTGCAGATGGTTCAAAATGGTTTGGTGACTAGCTCCCATCTCCTGGGCGATGTCACTAGATGCCATATGCCGGTCTAACTCGATGTATTCCATGATTTGATCGGTATTTGTCGTCACAGGTCTTCCGCCGGCTGGCTTATCCATGGTGCCGTTTTCACCGGCTCTGAATCGTCGAAACCATTCCTCCGCGATTCGAAGTGATAGAGTACCATCCCCCACAACACCATTAATCTCACGGAACGTTTTTCTAGCGGATTTGCCTTTAACGAAGGAAAACTTTAAAATAGCGCGAATTTCGGCGTTATTGAACTCCATGTCTATAACTGTTGAACGCAATATCCAAATTAATCATGCATACCGTTGTTTTGTAGGTTATCTCAGGACCTTTCAAATTATGTAGAGTGTTGCCAGATACGAGCTCTGTAGCGCTTTGTACATAGCCGCGAAATTCAAAAGACAAAAAAGCGGAAGATATTTACAACCTAATATAATTGTAGCGATTAAAAGACTGAATACATACATGATTGTAGCAATAATTATACAAAGGACTGTACATATGGTTACAAAAATAGTTTAGAAATAACTTTAAAGAAGAAAATGGGTATAAAATGACTGAATTGTTTTGTTTTTCAGATCATAATGAAAAACAGCCGCAAGATAATAGTCTCTGTAAGAATAACAAAGCTGTTGGAACTGCAAACATCAACGATGAGCATTTTTGAGAATTGTAAGCGAGCATGCAAAAGACTGGAACATATCAAAGGCACAGAAATGCATTCAGGAGAAAGACCGTAAGCTTGCACTTAGCCAGGATGTAACAAATTATTTGCCCGATCCGATAAATTTCATATTAATAACAAAAAGAAACGAGTTATTGGTCATACAATTCTTATCTTTTATATAGAAAATATTGTATACATCAATCTTTTATATAGAAAAATTATAAACCTAAATATACACATAAAACAAACATTATATGGAAAAATTTTAAAAAAAGTTTAGAAAACAATCGTTTAGAAAACAATATAAAAATAAATTTATAAAACAAATAATATAGAAGAAACATTTCTAACTGTTTAATATTTTTTATAAAAAATATTTATTAAAACATTATATAGAAGAACTAGTTAGATGCATAAGTTTTTACCTATGCCCTAAATACAACTTAAAATCATCCATTTGTACAAAGACACGAATAAATATTAAGATAGATTTACGATACCCAAATATTTTAACTTATGGCAAAGAACGCCGAGAGATAACTGTAATAAAGATAAAAATAACGATCCAGGATATATTGAATATTAAGAGAATATCTCCTGAATACAATATTCAAGGACTTCTAGAAGATAAATTGGCAGTTTTCACAAAGCTTTATAGAGAATATCTGGAATATTATCAAGAAATTGAAAAAGCTAATTCAATGAATAGTGACAAGAGTTGCCAACTAAGCACAAATATGCGTCACAAAATAACATAGTTGCATCAGAAACTAATATTTAATAAAGAGATCTATATTCTCGTAATTCTCATAGTGAACTAATTATATTTGGTTTATCAATATTTATATTAATTTCCGATGTAAATTCCTGTATTTCCATGTTTTCATTTAATACCACTTCTTTTATAAATGAATTTTTTTAAATTCGGAAATGTTTTTTATTTAGTGCATAGGTAAAGATGGATGCACCTAACTAGCTTCTTTTCTAACGATGCATGTAGTCAGAGTAAAGGAGCCAGCAACGTGCGGGGATAATCCGAAGGTTTTATTTATTATGAATGAAAAATAATAATACAATAATAATACAACTATAATATAGAAATAATACAATTATTATTTTACAGAGAAACTGCTCTAATAAAGTTATATTGTCTAAGAATATTAATTGCCAGTCAAATGTAAAAAAATATATGGTAAATTTTCCATCAGAGCAGCGATTAAAAATTAATCTATCTTAGTAAGAAAATTTCTATGTGTTACTTAAGTCAAAATTAAATTAACTCTCTAAAGCCAGTTCGTTCGGCAGACAGGCGGAAGATGTGGTTTTGAGCTATTTATATTAATATTCGAATATTGCAGTTGCACTCTGTTCCAAAAGTCTGTTTTCTGGCCCTTGAAGTAGTTATTGATGAGTAGGAAAGTATCCCCTTTTACCAAATAATTAAGAGTAAATAATGGTTCGTTTGCAATGGGCTTAACTTTCCGGTCCGCTAACTCATTGCCGTTAATGCCGGGGAGAGCAGGAATCCACAGTGCTACATTTGGACACGAGAACCCGACGTACGCATCTTTTTAAAAGGCAACCGACTAATGAGTACTCGATGTAAGACATCTCGGACGCGCATTATACTTTTGTAATAGTTTTAACTTTAATCTTCTTAATATGTAGTTTCGTTCTATTTGCTTATTGAAATTCGTTATTAGCCCGTCTTCGTTTTCCGTATTTGCTTTTGTGTTCGTAATTTTTCTCGTTGCTTGCTCGTTTCGCATGACTACTCCACAAAGTTTTCTATTATAGTTAGAAAACTGCGAAGCTAATAATCAGAAAAAAAGAGAGATAAAAAAAACCATTTCAACTAATCTAGCGCTGAAAAAAATTAAAGAAAAGGTGTAAAAATGCAGGTTTTCCTACGTCTGGCACAAAAAAAAAACAACTCATAGAAAGATTAAAAATTAATGTAGTGAACGATACTGACAATGAAAGTGACCGCGATGAAGCAGTGATACAACGTTTATCAGTTTTTGAGAAAACGATTGAGAGACTGGTAAGCATGCATACTCAAACAAATACGGGAGAGAATATTGACTCGCAAAATATTCCGTGAGCGTCAAACTTTCAACCAACGTTTGCTTTATCGCCTGAGGAGACAATGTATAGACGTGCGACAAATGTACAAGCATATACAACAACAACTCCAGCGCAGCGAGCTAACTTTGCGCCACAATGGGACAGAGCAACTATCCCAATTACTTCTAGGGCACAGACTCCAATTGGAAATCATGTTTTCGACCCAACGAGTACCTCAGCTCCAATTAGCAATGTCTCTCACTCGTCGTGTTGTAATATGAGAGATATTGTCGAGTTGTTACCGTAGTATAACCCAACAGGCGAACCGTCGTTGAATTCAGTGTAGTTTATAAAACGTATTGAAATGCTAAAAAAAATACATATAACTGGCGCGAATATATTTTAACTTGTGCGGTACAACAAAAACTGTGAGGCTCCGCAAAATTATGGAATGATTCTCAGCCGTGTGTTTTCGTTAATTGGTCACAGTTTGTAAATAAGTTTTTGACTGATATGGTAAATGGTGTTAACGATAACCATTTGAAGCATAAAATATCTATCGAATACCATCGGTGCAAAGACTTGTTCAAAGATATTCTAAGTTGTAATGTGCACAAGGATTCCAATAACTGTTCACTTAAAACAAGAAACGCGTCGACCGTTGTAAGACCACAATCTCTGAATTCGAAAACTATTCAGGTGTCAATAAATAATAATACAGAACGTTCGTCCAGTACTATAAAATACTACAATAGGGTTTCATTAGGACATTGCGCTAAGAATTGCCCTGAGCTGCAGAAAAAATTAAGGTGTGCTCAATATCACCGTACAGCCCAAAAAAAACCAAGTGTCCCGAAAATAAAAATACGAAAGTGTATAAAATTTTAGACACTCACGCACCTAACAAGATGGTAAATAAAGAGCGAGATAATGATGAGCGAATGAAAAAAATTGCTTCAAAAATTAATACAGGTGAAGTTTAAGCGTACTTGGAAAGCATAATTATCCCAAGTAAAACTGTGCTCGAAGGCTTTTTACGTCTCGAACGATTTTTCGCACTTCTCAAAGACGCTGGACTTGCGTTACGCGCCGATAAATGTAAATTTCTTGAAAAGAGAATTGAACACTTCGGACACATCGTCGACGAAAACGGTATTACACCAGGTATGCTGAAGGTAGCCGCTATAAAGAATTACAAAAAACCCATTAACATAACAGAGGTAAGAAGATTTCTGGGCTTTACGAGGTTTCGCAGGAAATTTGTCCCGTAGTATTCTCTGATTTCGAAGCCACTTACCACTTTATTAACTAAAGCGAGTCAAGATAATTTTGTATGGGGTTTTGAACAGCAACATACTTTCCAAATTCTCATAAACGCGCTTATAAATGAACCCATTCATGCTTTATACGATGTCAATGGCCTAGATGAAGTACATCCTGATGCCATTAGCATTGGCCTAGCGGGCGTATTACTGCAATCAACTGACGGAGGTGTATGACGCCCAGGGTGCTATTACAGCCGCCATTTCACTGATACAGAAAGACGTTATCACAGCTATGAGCTTGAAGTTCTGGCTGTTGTTGAGAGTTTACTGGGGTCACAATTCAAAGTCATAACCAATTGCTCTGCGATTGTTCAAGAAAAAGAACATAGAGAATTAAAACCTTAAATAGCTCGTTGGTAGCTTGTCGATGCTTTAAACCAATCGCCGGACCAACCCGCAAACGTAGTTGATCCAGCAGGTTTCATTCTCAAAGTATCCAATGATAACAGCGACTGGCTCCTCACGATGCAACTTCAGTACGAAAAATTTCGTGAAAGACAACGCAATTAAAGCTGAGTACCAGTTACGTAATCATCGCTTATATCGCAAAGAACCCGATGGGTTAAATTTTTTTGTTCCAAAAAGGGAACGCTGGTGCATTGTACAGATCTGCCACGATCAAGCGAGACACACCGCGCTGGAAATGACTGTTCAACACACCAAACAGACGTACTGGTTTCTACAAATGATGAAATACGTCAAAAGTGTAGTAGGTCAGACTGTAGTGATGTTTGTACCATTTATTGTTGTATTTGTATGTATGTGCAGGCATGTATAGGCTTGTTTATGTAAATATGATGCCGTTAGATTTGAGACGCTCATAACTCGTTATACATATTGTTGCGAAAATGCGAGGCGAATGTCAGATGAAAGAGAGAAGCCGATAACTAGTACGTTCTAGAAACGATAAAACAAGAACCTTCCATATCGAACAATTCGATGCTTCTACGCTTTCGTCTGCGAGCAGCCGGCTGCTATATAAAGGCGACACTCAGCTGCAAGTCAAGTTAGTGATAAAGTAAACTCGTTGGCGTTAACATCAGTAAAGTCGTAAAGTAAACACGTTGGAGAGTACATTTAAGTAGAGTGAATTGTGCAAGTTGATGATAGTGATTGTAAATAGTAGAGTGTATTGTAATTGTATTGTGAATTACGGAATAAATTAAACACATTAGATAAAATCTTTATAACGAAAGAAACTGCAAATTGAATTGACGAGTTTTTATTTAACAATCCAGAGATCGTACCCGAAGGTTTTAGAAAATATTCGAGGTTGATTTAGTAAAATCGTAACAATATACATATATGATATATGTACCATTTATTGTTATATTTGTATGTATGTGCAGGCATGTATAGGCTTGTTTGTGTAAATATGATGCCCTTAGGCTGCAACTACCCAACGAGCGTACCAGCCGTCCATA